TTTTAATTAGGGAAAGGAACTATCAGTGAGCTCTTTAATTTTGACAATGTGATTGCACTAAAGCTAAGAACCTACTATTACCTAAGTTAAAAACTGAAAATGAAGTTTCAGGCTTAGGTATCTTCTAAATTCCTAGCACCAATCACCTCCCTTCTCAGAGAGACCTTGACTCCACTCTCCACCTCCAAAGTGGATCCAAATCCTTCTCTCCCTTCCTTCTTTGCAGTGGAAAAGCATAGTTTGATCATACTGGCTTGCTGGGATCACACTGTGCTTTGACTATATCCCAGCAACTCGTGTTTCAGTTTTAGACAGTGGCTTTAAGATGACTGAGACAGTGCAGAAAGCACTCACTGAGTAAACCCTAGAAAGAAGAAGTCCAGTTTTGTACAACAGCAGGAAAGAGGATGTTTTGCAAACTCAATTCCCTTTCCTCCAAGTGTGAGGATACTGCTGATGCAAAGCATCCTACAAAATGAAAACAAGCTGTATTTGATTCCACGCACACCGAACGCTTGAACTGTGTTTAGCACATCACAGGTCTGCGGTTTGAGCAATACTCCCCAGTGTAGCAGGATTTTTCCTGCAGATACCAGTTCACATCTGATGGGAGACCGTTTTAAAACCAGCCTCTGCTCTTACGTTGTAAGAACAACTCTCTCCCTCAAGCTACTTGCAGACAAAAACATGTTTACCTCCACCTATCAAAGCACCAGGGGAAAAGAACAGCCCCTTGAAGGAAATTAATCCCTGAAAACCATTTGAAATGTTATAAACAGCTTACTACCAGAGTGAACAGATGCACTAAGAAGGATAAACAAGCATTTGGCTGAGACCCTCTGAGGGCGTCAGCTCCACGCCCCCATTACACTCAAGCCAGTGGCAGGCGAGTGTTGAGGGCTCGGTGGGTGGTGGCCAAGGGCCAGTGGATGTGGCACAGCTGGCACAGCCCAGGTATCCAAGCCAGCACGCAGCAGAGGCTGCTCAGACTATCAGCCAGTGTCACTGCAGCACCTCTCTCATCATCACTCAGCTTTATCACAGAGACTGGCTTTTTCAAAGCATTTTTACGGGTCTGAACTTGCAGTGCCCACCCTCAGGCGAGGATGCTCAACATGGCCGTATGTGCTTGCCTGCTGTTACAGGGAAGAGGATAAAGCACATTGTTTCAGGAAAAAAGATAAAAAAGACCAGCCTTCCAGTGTCTGCCCTTAACCACATTTATGCTTTCCCCATGAGGCAGTCTGCGGGGCGGGGGCTATCCAGAGCTTTCCCCTCCCAGTTAAATATGCCTCTCCTTCTACTGACGAATGAATAGTCAATTATTCCATACAAAATCAAGCCATTTCCTCCAGAAGCGCTGAATGTTCCCTTCTGCTTCTGAACAAGCCAGGGTGGGTGTAGCACTCCCTCAGATAACAGAGGAAAATAGAAACAGGTCTTGCTCTCATGAATGAGAGCTCTGTGAAGGTGGGTAAAAGAAGCTGATGCAGAAGACTCTGTGGTAATGTCCAAGAACATAATGACAAACTCACTAGGATTAGTTCTGCCAACTGTGCGGATGCAAGAGAAGTCTGGCATCTCTGTGCAGAGTCCAGGAGCATCCATGAGCAGGTCCTAACAGGTCACGGAGAAGATGTGGGGAAAAAAAAATTAAGACACTTCTGGAATTCATCTAAGCATAGGTACTGAAGACCAAATGTTGCCTTCAAGGGACTACAGAGTATGTACAGTGGACTGAGCCTTCAAACTACACAAAAGCCCAAAACAGATGCAGGGGAGTCAGTGGCTTCTGAAGAAGTTTCTGCTGCAGGGCAGAAAGCCTGTTGAGCTGCTCTCCTTGGTTTGACTCCCAGGCAGGTGGTCTGTGCTGTGTAATCCTGCAGGGAACAGCCAGGCCTCCAGGGAGTCGGTCAGGTGGGGAGGCCTTGACTGATACGCTGAACTCATTAAGCAGCTTTGCTCTGGAGAAACAGAATGGAAACTATATGGGAAAGGGCATTTGAGTTCTGTCCTTCACTTGGGATCAAGTGATCCCGATGTCTTTCAGAGTTTTAACCCCAAGGACAAAGCCCAAAGCCTAGCCTAAGCTTTAGAAAAGGAAGAAATCTCTGAAATGAGGCTTTGTATTAGTATTTTTTAAAAAACATCCCTACATATCTGCACTCTGCTGTGTGATATTTCAGAGGGCCCCTATGTATTAAAAAAGCTTGCTATTAAATATGAAAATTACGAGCAAAATCCAGTTTGAATGTATGTCCTGTTTATATTAAACTTTTTTTCTGATCACCACGGAGAGTTGCACAAAAAACGAAGTGCCTGCTCATGAGTTATATGAGTGAAGAAATACTGTAAACAATGATTACAAGTTTCCCCCCACTTGAGAATGAGCACAATTACAATGGTCCCAACTTCAAAAAACATGATTAAAGTATCCAACTCTTACATATGGAATAGAAATTAGTTACCTATGTAATTAGAAAATAGTCAGATCATGAGTCATTAAGGAGGTTGAATGGCTTAACCTCTTCTTCCCTTACCACGGAGTTTCCACCTTCTCATGCTGAGAACGAAGCACATCACTGTAACTGTGTTAACCATAAGTGGAGGACGCATACCTCTTACCCTTTTAAGTTAAAGTGGTGCCACTTTTTTGCACATAGAAGAAGCTTTTGAGAAGTAAGCTCCTGGGAATTACTTTTGGGTTATGAGTCTTTCCATCACTCAGGAGAAACAGAGGTGCTAAAGATGGTAACTGCGATGGAACTTAGTCTAACTTTTCTCTCACTATATTATTTACTAACAGCTATTCATTTACGAATATTTTCTAATAGAAAGCATCTATATTAAGCTACATTAAATTAATTTCTACCTGAAACAGAAACCTCATCTGGAAGAGCCTGCAAATCCTTTACTGCTTATGAGAGCAGAGCATAGGAGAGAGACAGCTGACAAAAAGAGAACCTACACTGCACTTGACATTGTATTTCTTGAAGTGATTACCACTTCTGCTCCTCCAGGTTGCATTTGAGGAGCAGGTTTCACCTGCATTCTCCTTATGTGTCTAAATGTCAGGAAAGGAGGAAATCCAAGAAGGAAATCTCCCCTCGCCATTGACACAGAGAGGTAGAAACTGCCACGACTGTCTCACTGTTGAACCATTGCATGTGGACTAATTAGCATAGGAAATGAGAGAATAATTTAACCAATAGGAGGTAGAATACTAATTAATAAGAGAACTAGTAACTTGTAGCCAATGACCTCTGATTTCTTTGTTTGCTAAAATGTATATATATAAAGTTTTGAGAACCAGTGTGCTTGGTATGTGGAAAACGTCCACCTTGACCACTATAGAGAGCAAACAATGTCTCCTTTCTAAACCTGACTCTTGTCC